TCATATTGACAAATATTATTTGGTTCAGTATGTATGATTCCGATTTTCTATTACTGTCAAGGACTAACATCATACCTCGTTTAACAACTGCTGCTTATTCCACTAGCTCTAACTCATGATTTTATATTACGATATATCACTATGTAGGTGATACCAAGACAAAGTGGTGTCGACCTTGCCTCAGTTTTGTCAAAGCTATAAACTTTTCGTGCCTCACTGCGAGGTTCACCCATCACGAGGATTTTGGGTGGCCTGGTGATCACCCTTTTGGCAGTTTACTGTTTTGTTATGCACAGTTTCAACTTTGCTTATGTAATGTTGATGCATGGGAATGTATCTCCTCCTCTTTTGCTTGTATTTTTGGCAAACTTGTTATTCTTGATGTCATGTGGCACATATATAGATAGTAGCAAATTCATTTTGTTTCATTAAAACTTTCGCCAGCTCGTTGACAGTTTATTTTATTATATATCAGCTTCCGTTGCCTCGATCAATTTGATTTGTATAGGAAAGCCTTTGGTAATAATGGATTACTGGCACGATTATGATGCAAACCTATAGGGGCGAGTTATGGGTCATGACATACATAATTCTTATTTTGTTTCATTTCTTATTTACTTACATTGCATCAAGGAAGTTCCTTAATATCTATTTAAGAACATAGGCACTCAGAGTCCACTAACTTTTTTTGGCTTTATTTAAAATCTGCTTAAGTTCGTCGATTCACATCACTAATCGATTGGGCTCACACTAAAATTTTTCGCTAATAAATTAGCACTCCTGGTAGGACCATTCATAACTTGGAGTAACGATAATGAGAAACAGACTAACTTGTATGAAATCATGCATCGACATTTTACATCTTGTGAACCCATGGATGCAAACGGCGTTAAATGGAGTCACGCCAGTGTTTCCGTAATGGTACAGATTATCAATGAGAATGCTTCATATTCTGAAAATTGTCATGTTATGGGTAGTAGTGCATCATTTATTGCCGAACATAAGGCATGAACAAACGATGTGAAAAGAATGATTTGGCGTTGTGAGGATGAAATTATTAGTGGCGGAGAGTGGAAATTTTTAGCCCCTAAAGAGAAGAAATTATTTCTCTTTATAGGGCAAAGATGTTCAAATATTTCAATCATCTACGTATTCATCTGTTGCAAGCAGTTTAAATTACTAATGATGAAAAAATTTCACTCGACTTAAAGGCTAAAAATTTTCTAATTGAAATGAAGAAATTTTTAATGTAGGAAAGCAAAATTAAGAAGCATAACGGCCAATGAAAAATTAAGATATGGAAAATAATGTGGGCTCATATGGTTAATATACAATATTTTTTGAAGAGCCAATCATTTATGAAGAGTCAAAGTATCATTGCTCAAAGGTTAGCACACCCCAAGTCAGAAGATAATATGACTTTGGAGAATTTTTCAATCTGAGCCATTAGATCTGGCTAAAATAAAAAAAACAACTCCTTCTCTCAAAGAAAATATTGAGAATTCTAATACGATAAAAGAATTCATTTGGGGGACATAATCTTTTGCCAACATGGCAAAAAGTGACAAAGCTTTTAAATGGCTAAAAAAGAAGAACAATCCTTAAAAAATAATTTAAAAATCATCAATAAAATGATGTGAAACTCCATATGGGGGGCATGATTTTAAGTCATAGGTGACTGAAAAAATTCATGCAACGGTGGGACCATGAATTCAAAGCCAAAATTGGTAAGAAAATTATGAACCCACGTTTGTTAAATGTGGGAATTTTTTGGACATTGTTCAAAGTGGTCAAATTTTATAAATTTTTCAAAAAATAAAAACAATAAACATTCATTATGTGAGTTTATGGGATCCAACATCCGCTTTGAGATTTGTGGATCACACCTAAAAAATTAATTCATAACAATGGTTTAAAAAAACAACAATGGTTGAAAAAAATGCTATAATGTATGTGCGTCTCTTAAATTAGCTAAAATGTGGCTGAACATAGAATTTTTTTATTTTAAAAAAATAAGGGAATGTGACTCTTTACTTATGATCAGATTCGACCAGAGACAGAGCCAAAAATGGAATGTTTACAATTGCTGCAATAGATTAAAATTACTAATGGATATAATCAGACTATTCAGAATTTATGAATTGTTGGCCCATAAAATATTCTTCCTGCAGATTATGCTAAACCACCTTACATCATATTAACTGATTCATTATTCAAATCCATTTAATGAGGGGGGCAATTGTTGCATCACATTTTATTTTTATCTGTCGATTGTGAACCTATTAATTATGGCAAGGTTCTATTATCGGTCTAATTGATTGAAATCATAACCTATTTTTAAGGAATAACCTTAACCACATTTGTTTTTATTATAGTTTCCCTGTCTACAGGTATCTAACAAGGTATGAATATATTGTGGTTAAGGGACGTGGCTAATGGCATGTTAAATGGAGACCAAAAGTTAGCCATTGCAGCAATTTGAAAAGTTAGTTTTTGGAGATTTAAAGGAGTCAAGATCAAAAAAACCATAGTAACCAACTCTGTAAAGTAGTTCCTATCAAACATGAGATAATGATAATGTTTAAGCCAAATCATGGGGCTTGCTGAGCCAAAAATCATGGGCTTTAGGTTATCTTCTTTCTCTCATATAGTGAGCCTATAAATAGGCAGAGAGATATAAAGAGAAATAAATCATTAATCTACTCACATTTGTGAAAGAAGTATTTATGAGTAGTTTAAGGTAGCCAAATTTTCTAGGATAGATTAAAAATGTACGTCTATTCCAATCCCCAATTCTCTTCTTTCTGTCAATGCTATATTTTATTATTTTTTGTCGCTTGTTTAAGTTTCTTACAACTAGTGAAAGTGACAATTTATTCGAATTAATACATATTCTGTTTTTGTTCAATTTCCTTTTTATTTAATCACCTATACGGAAGTTCTTAATCTGTTAAGGATAGGACTTAATCACAAAGCCTGATAATTTTTGTGTCTATTTAAAGATCCTGTTTAAGTCTATTGAATCATTCACTATCAAATTGGGCCTAAACCCTAATTTTTTTGCTAACGGTGGGGAAGGGAATGGGGTGCATTAGGGAGGGGCCTGGATGTGTCACGGAGGTGGTGGGAGGTGAGAAAATGATGGAATTGTTTACTTCTAGTTTTTAAATTAACATTTAGATCCAAAAAAAAAAAAAGTTTGATTTATCATTTTCAAAACTTTTTTTCAAAATTAATTTTTTCTTCCTCCTCTCTCCTTTTTCTTTTATTTTTTATTTATTAAGAAATCAATCCAATCACTTGTTCCTCTAATCCTCTCTCTCATTTTTATTCTCTCATATTCTACACCGTTAATCAATTAAATTTTCTCTCATACCACTACTAAAACACCTTTTGCGACTGTCACATAGCCGTCTGCAAAATAATAAAAATACAGTTGCAATAAAAGACTTTTTGCGGACGCCTAATGATGCACTGCCAAATGGGGGACGCAAATGTGGGGTGACACAATACTTTTTGCGCGGCAAAGCGACGGTCCGCAATTATTTGCGACCACCTAACTACTTTTTGCGATAGCTATTTTGCGTCCGCAAAAAAAAAAATTTAAAAATAAAAAACACTTTTACGGACCATATATTTTACTCATCGCAAATAATTATTTCTTAAAAAAAAAATCAAATTACGGGTTTTCATACAACAAAAAAATTAAATTACAAGCACCAAACAATTTTTTGTTAAGAAAAATAAAATTAACAATTAAAAATTAATTTATAATAGACATTATCCATTAAACCATCCTTAAATATTACTGTACTAAAAATTTTCAAGTCTTAACAAAAAAAAAAAAAGTAGCAACATAATCTTTGCTCCCAAC